GGTCTTATATGGCTCAAAAATTCTTTCTTTCAAGAATGCAAAAACGACATCTGTTATTTCTCTGTAATGAGCCGACAGTTACACAGCGCATCGCGAATTCCGTCTTCGTGGCTGCTGCTCGGGTTCCCAACAAACCACTTTGCCCATCTTCTACTCAACCACCAATCAGAATCAGAATGATCTGCAGCTCAGCAGAGTGTAGGGATGACTTCACCCCAGTCTTCATGGAAACAAGGAATATCAAAAACATGCCACAGAGCGTCCCGTACGATGCCAGTCCCTCCAATTTGAATGAAAGTGAGCATTTCTGTTTGGATAGTGATAAACACAGGCCGCGGCCGATTAGTATACACGGAGAGGAACGGATTTATTCGCTCTACAACTGTTTCCGATGGAACAATTTTACTACGCAGCCACCTCGTAAAGGTAAATAAGACCAGGAATAAAAAGAAATCATTTATTTATATTTATATCATCTAAACATCAAATCCGATACCCAAGAAAGCTATTCGCATTCATTCGTACACGATGTGAAATAATTGCAAGTACGGGGCAGAGCAATACAAAGAAAAAAGACCAGGAATTTTCGCAACGAATGAATTATCACAGTAGGTGTGTATGTGTCGCTAGAGAGGTGAAATCAATAAATCACGGTTCTAACTACAACCACTAAAACGAACGACGATGAGAGGGGGATGGGGGTCTAGTCGGGTCATAAAGAAGGAGGCAGAGGGGGAGCATTTGGTGTGGGTGATGGATGGAATACATTGCTTCGAAAGGCACAGTATATACAAGATGAACAAAAAAAACGAATGAAGAGAATTTCAGGACGAAGAAGACGAATGGATAAAGCCGCGACTAACCTATTATCGAACAGCCGATGGGACAAATACAACCGGACTGCTGCACATTGCATCAGTACAAAGAAAAACAATAGAATATATGTTCCCTTTCACCCATAAGCGAAAACTAACAAGTGGGAAGATGGATGGATGGATGGATGGACCGGACTGACGATAATCTCTGACCATACAGATCAAAACCAGCGAAAAACAGCCGCGGCGATGTTGTTAACAAAGGTACATAAAATACTGCATCGGATTTTCTGACTCGCACATACTATCGTCAAGATTCAGCACTGAAATTCGAAAGTTAACTCTTTTGTAGAACACTAGCAGACTGTCGAACGAGAACATGAAAACGCGAAAAACAAAGTGTCACAGTATACTACAAAAGTTACTATTCGGGGCACTACTCCACCACCTCGACTCTGGAAACTAGAAAATAAAATTTCCGGTGGAATTTCTATAGAGGTTATTCGCTGCCCTGAGCGTGCATGTGACGTTCATTTACGAGGTTGGTCAGGGCACATCGTTGTTGGGGCATTCCCCAACAGGGAGGGGGCTGAGATAAGGGAGACTGATTGGATAGCATTTTCGTAGTCGTATTCTGTACATACCCAGTTTGTTGAATGTCTGAAAATTCGCGTTCTGCGCAGAAGATGAGCGAGATGTGATACCACAAAACGCTGCTCATTGTGCTGCACATCGGCAGATAGGAATGACTTTACGTGCCAGACTCTGAACTAGAGAGCAGAAAGAACCGTAGAGTTTCGGATCACTCACAGATATTCTTTTCCACTGTGTTCTTCTGT